AGCATCAATGGGCTCAAGCATGGCAGTGTTTCATTCTGTTGTGCACAGGGTCACTATGAGTTGGTTCCAACTCAATGGCACCTAACAACAACAACATATTATGGATGACTACGGGAGAAAGATGAGGCGTTCTGCTCCCGTAAAGATTTACAGCCTTGGAAACCCTGTACAGGGTCACTGTGAGTCGGAACAGACTCCACGGTACTTAACAACCACCACCACCAGAACGAACAACTCTGTATTGGAAAAAAACAGAATGCACCTGAGAAGCGAGGCTAGCGAATCTCCATAAGATGCACATGTTATCAGGAGAGTCAGTCAGTATTGGAGAAAAGAGTGCTGGTAGCATAGTGGTTACGAGTCGGGCTGCTAACCTCAAGGTCAGCAGTTCGAAACTACCAGCTGTTCCGTGGGAGAAAGATGAGGTCTTCTGCTCCCGCTCCCGTGAAGATTTACAGCCTCAGAAACCTTATGAAGGGTCACTAAGCATCAGACCCAACTCCACGGCACACCACCATCACCACCAGTCCCTGGAGAAGAACTTGATATTTGGTAAAGTAGACGATCAGCAAAACAAAGGGCTTACAATTGCTGCAACAATATGCTCAAACCCAGCGATGAATGTAACGGTGGCACAGGACTGGGTGGTGTTTCCTTCAGTTGTACAGACGGTCACTAAAGAGTTGGGGCCAACTCAACAGCACCTAGTGACAACTTACTACAAAAATGAATTTCAAGAGTCAACAAATATTTTAAGCTATTGCAGCACTGACTGGATACATTGCAAAGTAATCCTTGAAAGAAAATTTTAATGAGGAATAAATCCAGTACCAATATGTTTAAATCAGCCAGGTATAAAAGTTAAGAAATGTACCCACATACAACAAAAACAAACCAAATTCACCAGTGTTATGCGTGAACGAATTTTTAATCAGAAACCAGCTACATTCAGAATCTAGTACACTCAACTCCTCACTATTTACATGGCTAGGATCCAAAGACTAGGTCATTATGCAAAACCCATCATTATGCAAAAATGGAGGCTTGTGTTTTTCCTGTTTTCAGATCATCCAGTGGTCCAATTTTCTTTTTGTCTAGAAAACATGATCATAGATATAATAATAAATACTGCGTGCTCGCTCATCGCTGTGACAAACCCACTTACAGATTACTCCTCTACGGAGAAGACGGTTTGAGGGAAACAGCTGGATAAAGCTGAGCCAAGTGTCTGGAGGCTCCATGACTTCGACCCCGCTTCACCACCCTCCTGTGCTGGGCTGGGTCAGAGCTTCCCTCACCAAGCTGCCTCCAAGGCTCTAGTTCCAGGCCAGCAAGCCCTGCTTTCACCACCCAGTGCCAGCTCTGCCCTCTGGGTCTGGTCAGTCACTGAGGATCCAGGCTTCCAACAAGGCCTTAAGAGTTGGGACGGACTGTACAGCACTTAACAACAGCAGAGCAGTGTGGTTCCATACAACAAATACTGGATTGTGAACTACAAAGTCCATGGGTTGAGCCCACCAGCCGCTTCGTGGGAGAAATATCAGGCTTTCTGCTTCCGCAAGGATTCATAGCCTCTGAAACTTTACACAGGGTTGCTATGAGCCAGAAGCAATTGGACAGCACTCAACAATGACGCAAGAAGTCTTAAATAAATGTAGTTATTGCCAACATGGTTAGTGTTTTGAGCTAGAAAACCCAGCTGAGCAGAGAGAGCTGTGGGAGGCAAGGCAATTGTTTGATAATCTGTTTTGCAATACCCTCTCACATCCAGAAAAGCAGGAACATTATAGAAAAGCATGTGAGTCCAAGAGGTGTGCCATGCACACAGGTAGTGCTGGCCACCAGATGCTTTGAGGCACCTAGATTAGAGCCGGCACACAAAATTACACACTGGCTTTTCTGAGAGGTGTTCTCCACTTTGGAATTACCCTGCTCATAACCACAGTAGAATCAGAGAGAACCCCAGAGGAAAGTACAGGAAGGAGCAAAAGCCAGCATGTCGTGGATTGAATTGTGTTTCCCTAAAACATATGTCAGCTTGGCTGTGATTCTCAGTGGTTTGACAGTTATATAACAATGTCATGTGACTGTTATGTAATGATCCCTCATGATATAACCGGATGTGATAAAGCAGTAAAAGGATTAAGGGTGGGAAGCAATACAGCCCTGATCCAATGTAAGGATGTAAGGGAGCTTCCCAGAGGCATAGCCTGCAACATCTCTTACTTACAAGAGATAAAAGGAGAGAGAAGTGAGCAGAGACCATAGGGACCTACTACTGCCAAAAGATTCAATTCTGGAGTGGAGTGCATCCTCTGAACCTGGGGTACCCATACTGTGAAGTTTCCAGATCCAAAGAAAGATTGATGCCAAGAAACATGGGCATCTCCAAGGAATGCTCGGACTACAGATGTTGAAAGGAGACACGTACCTTTCTCCAGAGCCTGTGCTCTGCATTTCATTTGTGGCCTCCTAAACTGTGAGAAAATGAACTGACTTGCTCAAACCTTCTACCTGAGGTATTTGTGCTACAGCGGCACTAGAAAACTAAGGGCAGTCAGCAGCCCTGGGCCAAAAGGTAGCCTTGCCCTGCACAGTCTCCAGTCTCTGCTCTTCCCACTGGTCCACATCGGCCTTGAGACCAGCCTTTCCTCTACCCAGACTCTACCCCAAGCTCCAGAATTGTTCTGGTTAGATTAACAGATGGTGACTCTTTCAGGCACGAAGGGTAATCACATCAGGAAGCCACATACACACGAGTCCACACCATAAGCCTCCTGCCCATACCGCTGCCTGGACACAGGGTGATTTGCACATAGCTGTGCTCCCGCTGGCAGGAAAAGTGACCGGGAAAGGCTGAAGAGCAAGAGTTCAGGCTTCATGGACTTCATCTGAACACACTGCGGCTGAAGCAGCTGGCTGCTGTATGTTCATCACACACTTACAAGAACTTACAACACTGAGGGGTCACTTCTATGGATTGGGTGATAACCAGTTGCTGTTGAGTCACCCCCAACTCATGGTGACCCCTGGCATTGCTTTTTTAATGCTGATTTTTCAGAAGCCGAATGCCAGGCCTTTCTTCTGAGGTGCCTCGAGTAGATTCGAACCTCCAACCTTTCAGTTAGCAGTCGAGTGTAGTAACCTCTGAACCACCCAGAAATTATTGTAAGTTACAGAGCTGCTTACATTCCCCTGCATGGCTATTCTATGTCAAACAAAGGTCCTGAGCTCTAAGTCACTGGTTCTTAGCAGCATGAGTCCTTCATCTCTCCCCATATTAAAGCAAACACCTGCACTAAGATAGAATGTGACTTCCCCAATTAGTGGCAGAAGTGGAACAAAAACCCAGCTCCTACATAAGCGAGGGTACTGTGGGGAAGCTAATTAATAACTGAGATTCCCTTCCCACACCTGTAAGCTACGGCATATCGTACCAGCCCTTCCTACTTCATGAAAACCCAACAGTAATACAGCATTCCATTTGGAGTACATGTGACAGTTTCCTACGGGTATTCTCATGCTATCTCAAGGGTCCCAAAGGAATACCAATGATATCAAGAACTGCATTCCTTTCCCTGTCACTTTTGTCTTGGCAGAGGGACAGCTGAGAACCACAACAATGTCACCATCCTGTCATTTGTCAATAAAGGGGAGTTAGCAGCCCCGGGATGTGATTTAATCCTGTGGAGATAAAGAGGAGGCTTGTTAAAGGGAGAACCCTGATCTCTCCCCTCCAGAATCAATAGTGTGGCTGGGATATAAACAAAGGTAAAAACTGGAGCAAGGCTTCCTACCAAAGAGTCTAGGATTCCACACGCAGCAGCTCAAAGGCTCCCAGCAGTTCCTGCAGATTTACCCAACAGATCTATAAGACAGCTACCATTTACACCCGCCTGCCACTCTTCCTCTGCCTTTTCATTCCTTCTTCTTTCAACAAATAAGTACTCAGCAGCTACTAAGTGCTAATTAGGAGGAATCCTAGCGGCACAAAGGTTAAATTGCTCTGCTGCCAACAGAAAGATCTGTGGTTTGAATCCACCAGCCACTCCATGGGAGAAAGATGTGAAGAGTCTTACTCCTGTAAAGGTTCAGAGCAGTTGAACCCATATGGGGCTGCTAAGAATCAGAATCGACTTGAGGGCAACGGGTCTGGATTGCTTATCTGTAAGTGTCCACTGGTTGTTAGGTGCTGTTATCTGGCCCTCAACTCATGGCAACCCCATACACAACACAAGAAAATGCTCTCCAGTCTGACACCATCTCCAGCGTGGCTGCAAATCACACAGTTGTGAGCCACAGGGTTTTGATTGGCTGGGTAAATTGCCAGGCCTTTCTTCCTATTCCATCTTAATCCCAGCCTCCACTGACAGACAGGTGGTGGGAACTGTCCAGGAATGGAACCCAGATTGCCCAAGTGGAAAATTCTACCACTGAACCAGGTAAAGGTAAAATGTGTTCAGCCCCCAAAACACAATCTCCTCCTTCATGGGGTTTAGAGTGTCATGGTGAAATCACCACATAAGCACACGCTGGACTACAATAGAGGTAGATGCTCAATGAGCACTAGGTCACCTGGGCCACCAGGGAGTGAGACTGGGGTCCTGATGGGAAACAGCCACTGTGTGAACCCCCAGCATAGCCACAGCACCACGCGCCTGCCGTAAGTGTGCCAAACAGGGATTAACCACATGCTGGGACTCTCTCAGCTGCAGTAGAAGCCACACCGCCAATCAAAGAAGGGACCAAGGGCAGGAGGAGGCTGTAATTACCCACCAAGCACCAACACTCGAGGCAGGCAAAAACATGCTGTCTTCCAGCTGTTTGTGTATCATTAGAAAAGAAATTAAGATGTCATTAGGAAGAAATTAAATAATGTGCACATTGTGGTGACAACAAAGACGCTGGCTGTCAGAGCCTACTCTGAGCAGGGACTGCCCGTGCCTAGCCCCTTTGCTGAGTTCCAGTCTGCAGAGAGGAAGGAAGAGTCTTGGCCTCACCCATGGTCTTTCCCTTGTAAAAGATCTTCAAGTCCATCAGACCGGTGAGCTGGCTCGCTAGAATCTCCATCTGGGACCCACTGTATTTGGAAGCTCGGAAGATGCTGAGCTGGGACCAGTCATCCCAGTAGATTTCATTCTAAAAATAAAAAAAAGTTTTGCTCTTTTGTCCAGCTCTTTGGTCCTGTCTTCTCAACTCCCCATAAGGACAAGAGTCCACCCTCCCCAGGCAGTGTACACCGAACATGGATAAGCAGTTGACTGAATGGTCTGACTGAGATCCCACTTGCATCCAATAGTTGGTGATATAACCCAAATCTCACCAAAAGCAACAAAGAAGGAACTGTATTTCTGATAGAGTTTAACCCTAACCTCACAGTTTAGTATCTACTATTTTGCCCTCTAGAATCAAAATACAGGTGGTGAGAGGTAATATAGATGGAGCTCATCTGGTGTTATCAAGAAACAAAGTGAGCAAACCTCAGAAGAGACAATGAAATGGAGACAAGGTGAGGTTACCAGTACTGGGGCAAACCAGGAATTCTCATGGGAAGTAATCTCCCCTTTAACCTTCTGAAATGTGCAGTGTGGTAGAAAAGTGGTCCCCTGACACTTCTGCCTAGCCTCCCTCCCTAATTAATTATCCAGATTATCAATTTATTGTTTAGATCATTGTTATAATGACAATGCTGAAATAAGTTAAATAAATGAAAGGTCTTATTGTTGTTATTATGTGCCATGGAGTCGGATCCAACTCACAGCAACCTTGTACAGGGTTTCCCAGGCTGTAAATCTTTATGGGAGCAGAAAGCCTCATCTTTCTCCCACGGAGCAGCTGGTAGTTTTGAACTGCTGACCCTGCGGTTCGCAGCCTGATCTGTAACCGCTATGCTACCAGAGCTCCTTAAATGAAAGGTCAAGATAGTAAATAATCTCAGTCAGGAATGAGTCCATTTTCTAGAAATTACACAAGCATGGCTGCAGAAACCCAGAGGCTGTTCATCTCAGAGTGCTCCCCACGTACCCTGGTAGCCTGTTAGTGGGGGAACGCTGAGAACTCACCTTAAAGATGGCAATGGCGTAGGGGTGTGGGAGGTTGTCCAGGATTACTGAGCGCTGCTGGCCACTGAAGCTGATCCTCTCAATACAGTCCAGGTAGGCATCTGTCCAGTAGATCCACTGGTCATCCACAGAGATGCCATTGGGCCACTTCACATCTTCAGAGACCAGGCGATGGACAGCAGAGCCATCCATATTGCTGCGATAAATCCCTGGCCTCAGGTCTCCCCAGTCCGTCCAGAACATCATCCTGGTCAACACCGTGAAACAACACAGGGTCCGTCAGAGCTGGGAAAATAAGATCTCAGCTACTTCCTCAGAGAGCGAAGGAACTCATTCAGAACAATCAGGCTGGAGAATTCAGAATTATCATTATAGTCTAGAAACCACATGTATAAAACCACTTAATTCCTTGATCCAGAAACTATCATTCTGAAATCGATCAGATGCAATCAAATCATGCAAAGATAATGTACAAAGATGCTCACCACAGTTTAATACTAGCAGAAAATTAGTAAGTGGGTTTGGTATATAAAAGCCACCACCGTCAAATGGATTTCTATGCATAGTGACCTTATGAGGCAGCATAGCACTGCTCCACAGGGTTTCTAAGACTATAAATCTTTATAGGAGGAGCCCAATACTTAACCTGTTGCTCTACTAGTACATATACATATACATATACATATATATATATATATATATATATATATATATGCACATAAACATATATAGATGTACACATATACATATATATATATTTCTTGTTAAGTGTGGTCAAGTAAGTTCCAACTCATAGCAACCCTATATAAGGTTTCCAAGGAGCAGCTGGTGAATTTGAAATGAGACCTTGTAGGACTTCAAAAAGTGCACAGAAAAATAAAATTTTTCCATGCACTTTTAAAGCACTTTTGTGTATATGTGTTTGTACCTAAATATTTATCTGTAAAAAAAGTAATTATTGTGCATACAATAAGATGCTCTGAAGCCTAAAAATCTACTTGGGCTCACAACAAACAATTTCCAAGAAACAAGATGCAGAATAATAAACATACTATGATTATATTTGGCATGTGTGTGTGTTTTAAGGGAGCATGCTTTGTTGCTGTTGTTAAGTGCAGGTTGAGTGGGTTCCAACTCATAGAGACCCTGTACAGGGTTTCCAAGAAACAGCTAGTGAGCTTGAACTGCCAGCCTTGCAGTTTAAACCTATCTTGCAGTCCAGTGTATTAACTCACAGCGCCACACCAGGACTCCTAGAGGACATCACACTAAAGGAAATAAATCAGTCACAAAAGAACAAATATTGTATGATACCACTATTGCAAAAACTGAAGAAAATATTTTCATATTAAAAGAAACATCCTCTGATGGTTCTGAGGGAGAATAATTCACTCACTAGAGGAGGGGACATGTTAACTTGGGTGACAGGGTGGGGCAATATACAAGAAGGGAGAAGGCAATATATAGGAAGAGGGAGGTTGACAGAAAACACAGGGAAGTATGTAAGGGCTGAAGGGGATAGAAATAAAAAGTGATATAAACACAAGCTTGGAACAACAGTGTTCTGTATTGTAGATACACAGAAAGAGACACAGGTTGAATGTGCAAGGGAGTTAGAGTTTGAAAGAGTATATTTGTATATCTGCTCCTCAGAATCCCTGTAAGGATCACTATGAATTGGAACAGACTCAATGGCAATTAACCAACACCACCACTACAGGGAGGAAGTGGGACAACTGTTGTTGTGTGGAGGGGATTGCAATCATTGAGATGAAACAAAGCATATGATTTGTTGAATGGAAAACTGATGATCCTGTCTGTAAACCTTCACTCAGTTCACAACAGTTTTATTATTATTATTAAGTGCCTTTGCGTTGCTCAAGTACACATTAATTGCTAATAAAGTCAGACACCTGGACATCCGGGAGACGGGGATAGATGAAATGGATTAAACATTTAGTCTTGCATGACCTCACATTACCTAACTGGGACTGCTAGGTCTGCAGAAACACTTTTTTTGAATGTCACCTTTTCAGAAGCATCCCATGGATGCAAGACATCTGGGTGTTTAAAGAGATTCTGATCATTCGTAATGAAAAGGGCATGGTACTACCTGACCAAAATGACTAAAACAGGCTTCAAAACTAACAAACAACCTCAATTAACAGATTATTTCAACTGTAATCATGAGAAACTGAGTTTCTGTTCAACAGTTTGCACTTCCACGAGAACCTGGATGTTGCAGAATTTGAGACAGTACCGATTTCCTTTCGAGGCCACACTCACCCCTCTTGAGGAACGAGAACCAGAGCCCTGGGCCGGTCAAGCACAGAGGAATTGATGATTGTGAGCCGGAAGTTACCATCTGGATTAGCTACCTGACAAAACAGAGAGAAAAGAGCTGAGAGGAAGCTGAGCTGAAAAGGTCCACAATGGGAAAGTCTCCCACTGATCTCCTGCCTATAGAGACATCTCCAGTAAGCCTGCTGGACTCTCCAGCCAGGCACATCTGGGACCCCGTGCCTATTTTCCAGTCAAAACGAGCTATTCCATCCTCAGGCTCATGTGATTTTTCACATGGTCTGACACAGGGAGCCCTAGGGATTTGATGAGTTAAACAAAGTGCTCAACTGTGTGTTTACTTACTTAGCCCACCCACGATTCTGTTATTTTTAGGTGCTGTCAAGTCAGCTCCGGCTCACAGAGACCCTATGTACAGGAGAATGCCAACATTTGAGCACACTGCTGCTACCATTGTGCCAATCCATCTCTTTGGGGGTCATCCTCTTTATCACAGACCCTCCACACTTTACTAAGCACGATGTCCTTCTCCAGAGATTGGTCCCTCCTGATAACATGCCCAAAATATGAGAGACAAAGTCTGGTCATTCTGCCTTCTAAGCAGAATTCTGGCTGTACGATTTTCAACACAGATTTGTTTTTCTGGGAGTCCACGGCACTTTCAATATTCTTCTCTAACACCATAACTCAAATTCATCAATTCTTCTGCAGTATTCATTGTTCGCTGTCCAACTTTCACATGCATGTGAGCTGATTGAAAATACCATGGCTTGGGTCAAGCATGCCTATGTTGCTACGCCACTGGTATTTTAAACATCAGGGTCACCCATGGTAGACAGATTTCAGTAGAGCTTCCAGACTAAGACAGACTAAGAAGGAGAGAGACTACTTCGGAATGTTTAGCCACTGTAAACCTTATAAATAGCAGTCCATGTTGTTGTTAAGCACCATCAAGTCAGTACTCAAGGTTAGGGGCCCTATGCACAACAGAATGAAACATGGCCATGTCCCAGGCCAACCTCACAATCATTGCTATCCCTAAGCCCATTGCTGTCGCCACTGTGCCAATCCATGTCATTGAGGGCCTTTCCTCTTTTTCTCCGACCATCCACTTTACCAAACATGATATCCTTCTCCAGGAACAGATTCCTCCAGATAATATGTCCAAAGTATGAGAAATGAAATCTGGCCATTCTGGCTTCCAAGGAGCATTCTGGCTATACTTCTTCCCACATAGATCTGTTTGTTCTTTTGGCAGTTCATGCTACTTTCAATATTTTCCTACAACACCATCAAATGCATCAATTCTTCTGAAGACTTCCTTATTCACGGTCCAACTTTCACATGCATATGAGGTTATGACTTGGGTCAGGCGCACCTAAGTCCATAAACTGACATCTTGGCCCTTCAACACTTTAAAGAGGTCTGATGCAAATTTGCCTAATGCAATACGTCATTTGATTTCTTGACTACTACTTCCACATTACTCCATGTTAAAAATTCACCAACAGCTTTTTACTTTCCACAAAATAAGCAGTTCATGCCACTGCCTGGCAATTCAGAGTCCCCAACAGACTGGTCCCTACATTCTCTCCATATCCTCACCTCCCAGCCTCACTGAGTCTAGTCTTCTTATACTACTCCACATCTGGTTCTCTTGCCCACAGTCCCTGGCTGCCGGCCTACCCTCCCTAATCAAATCTTATCTTCCCTTCAAAGCTCACCTCCATGCCCACCGCCTTCCCTAATTTTTTGGACCCACCTTGACCAATGGTCTATTGCTCATTAACTCATCTTACATTGTTTTGTACAAATAGTACATGCGTTGTAGCTTGTGTCACCATAAGTCTTTGAGAGGGTAGAGACGGAAGCTTCACCTGCATCCTGCTGCTGTTGTTGTTTTAAAGTGCCACCTAATCAATTTCAAGCCAACCTTGCCGTCCAGTGCTTTATCCTACAGTACCACCCCAGGACTCCCTGAATTCTGCCTGCGCCTCGCAAAGTGCTGACCATACTTCGAGAGAGAGAAACAGAGAGAGTGGTAACAAGACCACCTACTCACATTCGGTACCCGCCAGGCACTGTGCATCTTTTCATTCACTTCTTGTGGCACTCATGAGGTGAACACTACTGTCACTCTTCTCGTTATCAGGGATCAGCTCAGATGCCACATTCTCAAGGTGGGGCCACCTATTCTAATGTCCCCAACCCCCATGTCGCATGACGACATAGCCCAGTGTTCAGTTTTCAGAGGAGTTCTCATCAACAGAACTGATTTGCTTATTTCCTTAGTACTTTACATTCTCCACTAACACCTAACTCTAACAGAGCGGAAACTCGTCTGTCCTTATGGATGAAGAGATCAAAGCTAAAGAGGGAATAAGTAATTTGTCTGATGTCACATGGTTAGCAGGGTCTAGACCCAACCTGTGTCCATCGTCTCACGTTTGTGCCTTTGGTTTTGTGACTTCTTTTACCTTTATGTGTCTCTTTCCTTTCTTCTTCTGTCATTTCTACTTAGCCCAAATTGCTCTGCCTCCATGCAGAGTCCGCAGAAAGAGGGCCTCTCAGGGCCTCAACAGCAACTTGCAGGAGCTGAGGATACTCGTCTTACTTGAGAAAATATTTTTGGTGGTTATCCATGGCTGTCCAGTCAATTCCAACTCAAGAAACCCTGAGGACAGAGTATTACTGTTCCACAGGGGTGAGGAGATTGTAATTCTTCATGGAAGCAGATAACCTCAACTTTCTCCCTCAGAACAACTGGTGGGTTTGAACTGCCAACACTGCTGTTAGCAGACCAATGCTTAACCAACTGTGACACTAGGGCTCCTTTTTGGTGATTTGTGGATGTTGTTAAGTGCCGTCAAGTCAGTTCCAACCCACAGTGACCCTGTATAGAGTTTCCAAGGAGCAGCTTAGTGAGCTCGAACCACCAACTTTACAGTTCAAACAACTTTAATTTAGAGGCTGTTTATGACCCTAATGCTACCTTAGGGATACAAGGGGTGAGGGATCACTAGGTAGCTAAGTTCTGTACATGGGAAGTATGAATAGGAAGAGTACCTACTTCTTCACAGGGTTGTTGTGGAGAGTGAATCAAGTAATTCAGGGAAGAAAGGACATCCAACTGGGCATGGCCCATCATCATCATCAATAATGATAACAATATTGTCATATGACTCAACAGGTTACAATGATACTCAGTATAATTACAGCACTATAATAATGCTGTAGTATTACTGTTACAGCATTATAATACTATGGTATTATGGAGAAATTCCATGACTCATAATACTATACTATTACCATTATTGTTATTACTCCATACTTCTGATGTTGTTGTTGTTAAGTGCCATCGAGTCACTTTTGACCCATAGCGACCCTGTATAGGGTTTCCGAGAAGCAGCTAGTGATCTTGAACCGTCAACCTTGCAGATCAAATCAACTTTGCAATCCAGCATATGCTTCTAACTAGCCAAAAAAAAAGTTAAATTTCAGATTCTAAGTGAAATTAGTTTGATGGATTTGGGCATCCTGTTTTCATTCGGGACCTTCTTGGCCACCATCAGTCATTCTGAGACTGTCCTTCTTCCTCCTTCTCCAAGGCTCAGCCAATTCTATCTCTAGGAATTCCCTGACAATTTCTAGAATAATCTGACACAGTATGGCCTGAAGTAAAGGTGTTCCACCATCTACTTCATTAAGGATAGCACAGGAGTGCACTTACCTCAATTTTTTTTAAGCCGGCATCGACCCAGTAAAGCAACTGGCTAAGGGGTTCAAAAGCCAAAGCTTCTACTGTCTCCAGGCCAGAATTGATGATCACCTCCTGGCCTGTACTCCCATTCAAGCAGAGGCGCTGAAGAGAGAAAAAAAGGAAAATCATGCTGTTAGGACCCAGATGACCTCCTACCAAATCAGTCCCAGACACTGCAGCACTTAATTTAACTACTTCACCGGCAAAGAATGAGACATTTTTGTTAGTCAATTTCTAGGTAAATGTATTATAGTTTCTTGTGCTAAGAAGATTCACAAAACGGAATTTAACCATTTCTGTCACTCTTCATGATCCGTTACTAACACAAGTTACTAGACTGTGCTGCATCACAGTGAGAGCGTACACATGAATTTGCTTGCATTGAAAATAAATTAAAGCAGACTGCTGTTCTTGTTACGTTCTTGTGCCTGCTTTTTACAGTGCTTCCTCACGTGTGAGGTCTCCGAGCTGTTGGGTGCTGTTACTGGGACATCTCTGCCTAGCGGTTACCACCACCTTGCACCTAGTACCCTACAACTGCTCAGTAGTTGGGAGTCCACAAAAAACGTGTTGCTACAGCCTTTATAAAAGGGTGAAACAGGCAATGAATAAGCATCAAATAGCTTTGCTTTAAAATGTATGAGTTTAAGTGCACAGATATCTGCCTATCCAGGGATCTTTATCACTTTCTGATGCTCATCTGTGTTTAGAATAGCTGGATAATCACGTCATTAGATCACCTTGGAAACAAGGATGCTGAAGAGGCAGTTGATACAATAAGGAGATGACTAATATTCCTACAGCACTAACCTTAAAACCATCCCAGTAGGAAAAGCAATACCTCCTTTACAAGCTAGACAGAAGACTTTGATCTTCCCTTGTCCTTGCTACATGGACAGAGAAGAACAGAGGGAGATAAAAACATGAAGACAGGAAATATTAAATCTTCAGTGAGGCCCAAGGTGAGACATGATTTATAAACCTCAAGCTAACCAATGCCTTAAGGTATCCTGAATGATGCTTATCTGTACCAGATACTCAAGACTAGGTGGTCAGAAGGCAAAGCCTCAGGACCAGCCACTCACCTGGATGAGGTCCAAGGCCAGGTCAGACCAATACAAGCAGTTGTGTTCATAGTCAAAGTCGAGGGCCACTGCTGCCCGCAAGCCGGTGAGCGGCAACTGCTCAGTGGCCCCTGAGGCTAAGTCATAGCGGTGGATGGACTTCCGCATGGCATACAAAATGAACTCGTTCTCCTCTGTAGACAGAAGGGAGGTTAGTATGTCTGCTTTACTTCTTCTCATACACATCGGCTCATCTCATGGATCAAATGAAAATGAAAGATCATAGGAATCATTGTTCTTGGACAAGCTACTCAAACGTTTGTGAATCTCAGAGAATGCAGGTAACCTGGACCCAGAGCCTATGTTTTAACCATTACATTATGTTGACCAACACTTATGTGTCTAAGGTTTCACTCTGTACATTTTTTAATCTACATTGTCCAGTAGACATGCTCCAACATCCAAATTTCTGAGCCAAAAAGTCCTCAGAGTCTCACTTGGCAAGATAATCACAGCCATCAGTATGCCCCCCTCCCCTCCCTTAGGACTGCATCATGTAGTCCCATAATTCACTCATTCTCACATCATGGTCTATCTTGTTGACTAGAGACCATTTAGTCCCCAAAGATTTATAACAAAATCTGCTCATCTGTTGGCTCATTTATTCAATATACGACATATGCCAATTATACTGACATATCAGATTTTCAACACAGTAATTCTACATTTGTTCTTGACTGCTTACAAAATGCTTTCCCAATATAATCTTCATAAATATCTTGGGGGTGGGTGTGCCGTCGAGTCAGTTCCGACTCATAATGACCCTGTATATGGTTTCCAAGACAGTGAATCTTTACAGGAGCAGAAAGCTCCATCTTTCTCCCACAGAGCAGTTGGTTAGAACGAAATTGCTGACCTTGTGGCTAGCAGCCCAACTAGTAACCATTATGCTACCAGGATTACTTTATAAAGATTCTAGTTCTAGTTAATTCTATTTAACCAGTACTGCTAGCGTAGTGGTTACGAATCGGGCTGCTAATCTCAGGGTCAGCAGTTTGAATCTACCAGCTGTTCCACGGGAGAAAGATGAGGCTTTCTGCTACCATAAAGATTTACAGCCTCAGAAACCCTGTACAGGGTTGCTTTGAGTCAGAACTGACGCCACTGCACATAACAACATAGTGTATTTCCTATGTACCATGCATTGTTTAATTCTCATAACTGTGTGATGCAGCTTAAACATGAGAAAATTAAGACCAGAGAGATTAAATAGGTCACCCAGGGTCACACAGCTAATCAGCGGCAAAACCTAGATTTGAACACAGGCCATTTGGATCAAGAGTCTATGTTTTAACCATTACTAAATTGATTGGTGCTTGTGACATAGACACTAATGTTGTCCTTTTATAAAATGCATAAAAGAGAGACCTAGCGTCTTAAAAGACTTATCTAATGTCAGACAAATAAGACTCTTATTCTTGTTCTGATTAGCAAATAGCCTGAAAAATATCTAGATTCTTCCAAATGAGTAAAAAGCAGCAGCACGCCAGCATCCATTTCTAAAGCACCCTTTTGGGTAAGAATAGTGCATCCACTCTCCCTGACTAAATCCGTACATTCAAGGAGTCAACATTACTAGCCACTTACATTAAAAGGCTTCAGGAAAAATAATGCATCAAAGCATACATCCACCTGTAATTTTTAGTAAAGATTTGCTCTGTTTTCCTCTGATCTGGCTTCACTTCTACAGGACCTAGCTACCACTACATGATAACTCATTGTCTTAGTTTTCAAGGAAATCTTCCTACTGTAATTCCAGCAAAAAGGATAGATGCTGAGCTTTTAAATCACATCACACCCAAGGACTCATCAAAGCTGCCTTGAGGAAGAACAGAGAAAACATCACAGCAGCGAGCCTTTCACCCACATCTCTCTCCACCAGTATCTTCAGACCTCATTCTGTTGCTTTAGCTTTTTCTTCTAACAAACAAATGATTTTTACAGGAAAGCCTAAATCCAGAAATATTTAGGATTAGGACTCGAGTAGAGTCCCTGGGTGGTGCAGTTAACAAGTTCCACAGGTAACCAGAAGGTTCAAATCTGTCCAGAAGACAGATCATCTACTTCCAAAAAAACCCCAGCCACTGAATACCCAACAGAGCACAGTTCAACTCTGACCCACGAGGCACCTTAAGAGGGAACCAATTCAATGACACAGTGTGCAAAGCACAAGCTAGAAAAGGAACAGGAGACTTGATCAACCCTGGCCATATCTGAGCACAGCCTGGAAATCTTTTATTATAGTAATCATTTTATTCTAGTAATCAGTTTTATTATAGTAATCATTGGGGAAGAAAAAGTACTGTTTTTAAAGAATCTTTCCAATGACTAAATTACCTCCTCTTTGCAAAGGATGTTATGGTTCCGATGGTTGTTGTAAGGTGCCATCCAACTGGCTCTGCACATAGATATGTACAACAGAACAAAGCACTGCCTGCTTCTGCACTATCCTTATTACCATGTTTGAGCCATTGTTGTAGTGACACAATTAAGGGCCTTCTCTTTCCCAAAGACTTACTTTACCCAATCATGATGTCCTTCTCCAGGGTCTGGTCCCTTCTGATAACAGGTCCAAAGTACATGAGACAAAGTGCCACTATCATCACCACCCAGAAGTATTCTGGCTGTACTTCTAAAACAGCTTTGTTCTTTCTTCTGGCAATCCCTGATACATTCAACATTCTTCACCAGCACCATAATTCAAATCCAGCAATTATTTTGTGTTCCTTCCTTATTCAATGTCCACTTTTTGCAAACATATGAGGCTCCTGAGAATACTATAGTTTGGGCCAAGCACATCTTAGTACTCAAAGCGACAGCTTTGGTCTTTCATACAATGAAGACATCTTTCGTAGATTTGCTCAATGCAATAAGTCAAATCGATTTCTTTTTTAAAAAATTAGTTTCAAACTTTTCATTGTGAAGAGCAAAGATTTACAGAGCAGATCATCAGTTTTACATTCGCCATATCATACACTGTTTCATCTCAATGACTGAATCCCCTCCATGTAACAACAGTTATCCCGCTTCCTCCCTGTGGTTCCTACTCCCAGTCCATTCACCTTCCCAACCCCTCTGAACCTTGTCCTTAGGTAAATGTTGTCCTTTTGGAGTGACCCTTCCATGGTAAGCATACATTACTAGTGTTGTTGCCCCCATCCTCCTACGTACCTTATCTATTATTTGAATGAAAAGCAGGCTATAAGGGCAAGTTCTGTTCCAGACCTGAGGGGTGGCCTAGGGAGGACCAGCGTCTAGGGTTCCTCCAGTCTTTTTCTGACCAGTATTAAGCCTTGTCTTTTGTAATAATTTTGAATTTTGTTCCACACTTTCTAGCCCTCTATCCAGGACCTTCTAATATGACTCCTTCATAGAGCAGTTGGTAGTGATACCCAGGTACCATCCAGTTCTTCTAGACTCATTCTCATGGAGACTGATGATCACGTGTTCCATTTGTCCATCAGCCTAATTGTGTCCAAGAGTTGTCAATTTTCATCATTCTTCTTTCCTCAGCACATAGAGAGACCAACACCTGGACTTTAGATGTCCACTCATGGCTCACAGGCTTATTTTAAGATCCCAGTTGCTACTCACAAAAGTACATGTAGAACACTGTTAAGCCACATGACCTTGGCGTCCCGAGACCATGGTGCTCAGCTCCCAGGTGCAGCATCTCGTTGCCTCAAGGTGTTTGATAATGTCTAAGAAGTTTTCATCAGTTTGCCCCCTGTATGCCTTGACACATTTATAGATGTGTTTACAGCAAAGGTAAATGCCCATGTACAAATAACCTCTGTATGGTCCTGCTGGTAAGCACTAGACTGCAAGGTCAGTTTGAACTGCAAAGACTGTGGTTCAAAGTCACCAGCCGCTCCTCGGAAACCCTATACAGGGTTGCTATGGATCGGAACCGACTTGACACTAAACAACAACTCCGACTCTCCTTTCCATACCAGTTCAGCCTGTGTATCTGCCCGTGTATAGAGTTGGGTCTATAACAGTTTTGAATTCTAAGCCCTTTCTTTAACCCTTGCATTCCTCCCTGTGTCTTCACCTTACTTCATTATTCTTCTACCAACCTCCCTCTTGTTGTATACTAGTCTTGAAAAAACTCAAGAAAAGCTTTTCAAGAAAAAGAAAAAAAAAAAAGCATTTTTTTATAGTTACCAAAGGTGGGAATAATTCACTAGATAAGAGGGTAGACAGGTATTAACTTGAATGACAGGGAAGTCATTTAATATTTTGACTGCTGTTTCCCTGGGTGTTAATTGTGGATCCAAGTAAAATGAAATCCTTGACAAATTCAATATTTTCTACATTTATCATGATGTTGCTTACTGGTCCACTTGTAAGATTTTTGCTTTCTTTATATTTAGGTATAACCCATACCAAAGGCTATATAGTCTTTGATCTTCATCAGTAAGTCTGGTTTGATTTCAGCTAGCAAGGTTGTGTCATCTGCATATCACAGGTCACTAATGATTCTTATTAGTCCTTCACTGAACCATCTTTTTCTTTCCAGCATCTCAGTCTTCTATTCTACACTTTATTTTCTTGTTTTACATTTAGGAGGTGGCCCATGCTGTAAATGAGATTTTTCCACTTCATTTCCTGTTCTATCTTCTCTGATCAGAGGAGAAAGTAACATTTCCTGCCAGTTGAGCATGTCTTAAACAAACTGTTTTGTCTCTAGCTGAATTATCTTCAGAAATAGTTATTACAAAAAAGTATGTACTCCAGGCCCTGAAGAGCAATCACTGAAACCCTACTAACCCAAGTCCTCATCAATAAATGCTCTTATGAGGGGAATATTGAAATGTTATCTGCTCATTTATAAGAATCTGCTGATGTTGTGTTCCTTTAAGTCTCCACAGTGAGGTATGTTAATTACTCAGGTAATGATGGAAGATTAAATTAAAGGACTAATGAGCTTAGCAAGAAACACCAGGGCAAACTGGCAGGCAGTGAGGAAACAAGAGGGCTGGTTTGTCCTGCCTGCAAGAAAAATGTACTGCTTTCACGATTCATTTGGCATTTGAGGCTGTTCCACCAGACACCAGTGCTGCCTAATGGAAGGCAGTGCCAATGGTTCACCTGCTGTGAGAGGCCTGAGCCGGAGGACAGAGGACGTAGAGAAGCTCTAAGTGAATGTGAACGAGAAACAGTGAAGGAGGAAAAGACACTAAAGGTTTAACAATTTTTTAATTAACAGAATTCCATGTCTACATGGCAAATCCTCAACATGTTACATCACTACTAACTTAAAAACAGTGTTGGAACACAACAATATTCAGTTCTAAAGCCTCCACTTGGATAATATGTTGTATAGTGGTTACGAATTGGGCTGCGAACCTTAAGGTCAGCGGTTCGAAATTACCAGCCGCTCCACGGGAGAAAGATGAGGCTTTCTACTCCCGTAAAGATTTACACCCTTGGAAACCCT